TTTACAGTTTTGGAACAGATTGGTTGCCCACCAAAACTGCTAAACTTAATCATCAGCTTTCACAAAAACATTGTTAAGTCTGAATGTTGCATGTCTGCTAGTTTTGGCATAAACACAAGTGTCAAACAAGGATGTGTGTTGGCCCCAACACTGTTTGGAATTTACTTCTCAGTAGTCTTGTCGTTGGCCTTCACAGAAGAGATGGAAGGAGTTTATCTACACTCTCGCCCTTCTGGAAAACTGGAAAACTCTTCAATATTCAAAGGCTAAAAGCTAAGACCAAAGTGAGGCGAGTACTTATCAGAGAATTACTGTTTGCAGATGATGCAGCTCTGGTTGCACAGAGTGAAGAAAACCTACAATTACTGTTGGACAGATTGTCAACTTCTTGCACTGCCTTTGGGCTCACCATTAACACAAAGAAGACGGTTGTCTTGTGTCAAGGCAACTCTCATCCACTAATTATTACACTAAATGGCATTCCACTTGAAGTAGTTGACAAGTTCACCTACCTTGGTGCATCTGTGACCAATTCATTTTCATTAAGTAACGAGATCAACACACGAATTGGAAAGGCAGAAACACAGTTTGGCCGGCTTACCAACCGTGCATGGAAAAATAAACACCTTACATTGCGCACTAAAGTTCAAACATAGGCGTAGATCCCGGGGGGATGGAGGGGATATATCCCCCCAATATTTGAAAAGGGGGGATGGTCCATTGTATCATCCCCCCAATATTTTGACTATGTATGGGATAAAATGGAGCTTTACACACTTCAAAAGACTGTCACAGAAATAATTTGCACTGTCTTATGCGCTTACAAAGATGAAAATTAGCATATTGTATTAATGTTGATAACAAAATTATTTTATCTGGTACCAATCTAAGCTCTTCTTTCCTTAGATGTTAGATGTGCTTGCAAAGAGAGCCACATTTCACACTGAAGGGCGTGTACGACATCAGTAATGTTATATCAATTCCAAGAATGTTTAAGGTTATATCGGTTGATGAGGAATTTATTGATTAGGCCTATAATAGCAAATTGCATCAATTTATTTTGGAAAAACAAGGTTTCCAGCTTCAGAGGGGGGCACATTTCCTGTCCTCACAAGGGCACACATTGGCGCTAACACCAGGCGCGTAACAGGGGTCTTGGGTCATAGTGGGTATATTTTTTTTAATTTTTTATTTCAACCATCTTTAAAGAGGGTAACCCTTCTAGCCCAGTAGGTTAACTGACATTCAGGGGCCCTCTTTAATAAATTTAAAAAACAGTACAAACAACATCATCACAACATAATAATAATAATAATAATAATAATAATAATAATAATAATAATAATAATAATAATAATAATAATAACAATAATAATAATAACAATAACAATAACAATAACAATAATAATAACATATAATCCTCATTTCCCGGTTAGTAATTTAACATACCCACCCCACCCCACCCCACTCCTGTCTCTTATACACATCTAGATGTGTATAAGAGACAGAAAACAATACGACATAGGGCTTATCTTATTTATAATATAGGCCACACACGTGTGTTTGAAACTAAATATAAGCATTTTCATCATGGTTGTATTTATTACAAACACATTCTTTCACCATCTATACACATTGAGGCCCTTCTTTTAGGTTAAAATGATCTATCTTAAATTTGTCTTTCTTGAGTTTGGGACTATTATGTGTTTAAATAACTAAAAAGGATAAAACTAAAAAAAAGCCCTAAAAAATGCGCGCCAAACACGCAAAATATTTTTGTGTTTTTAATTCTAATTTCGTCGGAATTGATGAAAATTATCTAAAATGTGCAATTTATAGAGGAAATTGTCCTACCGTAACAAGAAATGCGCGCAAAGAATTTGAGAATTTTTGGCACTTTCTGAGGATGCATTTGTCAAGGAGTGGAGAAAGATTTCCAAAGATGGATATTTTCCCCTTGTCCCCCGGTGTTTTTAATTCTAATTTCGTTGGAATTGATCAAAACTCCCTAAAATGTGCA